GGGGGCAGTCGTGAGACTCGGGGATTTCGTCTCATCTGGAAGAGTTGCCTTTCCTCTGGGTGGAATACATTTTTTGGGCGCTTTGAAAATTTGACGTTTTTAACCCAGTAACTTCCAGGGCCCGGATCGTCATATGTTTAACGCTTTGTTTCATCTATTCGCTCCCAAAGAATCCCTTCCCAATACTTTGCCTATTTACCTTGACATGTCTTCATGAAAATACCCCGAGTATCGGACTTTACAAGTTTACGGTGCAGCCTACACAAATGGCTAAATTTGCTTAGATATCAAGGTCAGTTGGACCCAGAACGGTAGTTACAGGGTGAAACGGTCACTTTTGTAGGAGTATTGCTTTTCGAATGTTTGGTTAATTCATAAAAAATGTCATCCAAGTTGTCGAGATGTACCGTAACATCATCCATCGTAATCGTTTTCTTGCAGCCGAAATACGTCGTTTCGTGAAAGCGCCTCATACTACCTTATTCCAACATCCGTTAGTGTAGCTGTGAAGAAAAAGCAACGTGATATTGTGTCAGGTAATAGGCAAGCATCGGTGTGTAAGACGCCAGTTTTTGACTGGGGGGGGGGGGGCATCGTCTTATCGAAATGCACGGAGATGAACGGGACGGGAAAGCGAAGGATGCACCGAAGGGTGGAGTATGACGGCGGAACCTGGGAGGTGGCGTCTCCGAGGGCGGGAAAAAAAAATGCAGCTTTCATTTCCTCTCTCTCACTCAGCGTTTCCTTAACTACCATCTCTTAGCTGTGTGTTGCGCATTTGAACGTTTTGATCGCGACTAGAATGGTCAATGAAGTTCTGATCTACAGTAACTCTAAATCCCGCCCTGGGTGCCTTTTTCTCCTCGTTCAAATCCACTGGGTGGTGCTGAGTCTTCCGAAAGGGATAAACAGTTTAAGTTATGTGGTTGGAATCCGGCGAAATGTCGTTATTTCGATTTGGCATCGGTGCGGTCGTTTTTCGAGAAGGTACAGACAAGAACAAAGGAAACGCAGTAATGCAAAGAGGAGCGAGGGCCTTGAGAGGATATAGAAAAGTATGCAACACGAGGTAGACCCCAAATTCCCAGCAAGCAGCGTGTAAGAAGCGAGTGCCTGAGAGGGGCAGCTGAGCCCCTCTCAGTCTCGTCCGCTTGCACGAACTCGAGACGCTAAGAGACGACTTTCGTCCAAGACTCCAATCGGATTGGTTTTCCTGCAATGGTGGATGGGTGGGGGGTGGGGGGGCGAGGAACTCCCAGACTATCCTAGCGGAGCGGGTCAGGTCGGACCTCTCCTGGACAGACCCTGTAAAAAAAAATAATACAAATAAAAGGGTCTGCCCTTTCTTGGATCGTCCATGTCTTTGAGGTGTGTAATATTAATAAATTCAGTAAATCCGCCTGTTTGTTAGCACGAGGCTCGTGTCGCACAAGGGCCCACCTTCTCATATACACAATGCCATGTTTTTCTTCTCAGTCACAACCTGGGATGTTGGAACGAGGTAGTTATGCCACGTTTTCAGTCGAGGTCAAGGTTATCCTACAAACAAACAGAAAAAATAAATAAATAAAATACATATATATAATAGCCTCGAAATACTGTATAATTCATCCTCGAGTGGCTGATTCGTACCATGAAATTTCTTTTATCATTTTGAAGTTTTTAATTTAAATTCAAATGTGACAAAATTCAGGTGTTCATCATGATCGGGCAAAATGGGCAAGACTCGACTTCTTCTAATTGACATGATTAACTTTTTTGACAACAAAAAAAGAATACGTAAGCAAAATTACATTGACTGTGTTGAGTATTTTTTTTTGGTATCACTCACTTCTTGATGTAGCCAAAGTTGTGATTTAGGGTGGATTTTTGAACAGAGCTCTATTCGATAATGCAGCTTTATTTCAGAGAAAATGCAATACAAGTCCGGTAAATAAAGCTCTTTTTTTTAAGAATTTTTTTCACATTTCAAATTTTGAGTAGTTGACCTTGAGTTTCTTTGACATGGATAATTTTAAATATATGCATGTATGTTCTGGATTTAGCCATCATTCGTAACAGCTTGGAATTGTAATGTCAATAATCCGATTCCAAATCGATCGACTACTGCAGAAATGTCCCCTTTGCACGAATTGGCTCTTAAGGAGAGAAGGGAGGAGGCAGCTTGCAAACTCTTAGTGGAATCCGACAGATTGGCGGCAGGTTTTTTTTTTTTACATATATAAAAGATGTGTCGTGCCTGACAAATGCTAAAACCATAAATGATAAATAGAGGATATCGGACTTACCCATTGGACTGGGACAATCATCTTGCTCTAGCTGGTTCGTTTTTCTGGGCACCATCGCCGAAATGGCGCAGAGAAAGCCTGAGGTGGAACAAAGAATAGAACATGGCATTGCCTTTTTTTCCTCCCCCTTGTGTTTGCTTGCTTCCCTCCCTACTCGACCTTGACGTGAGCCCTGATCCTGGCCACGTGATCGGCGTGAAGGTCGTCCGAGGGCCGAGGGCCGAGGGGGGGGGGGGGGGGGGGGGGGGGGGGG